GGGCACATGGCACTGCATCCTGGGGTGATGCTGACCCCCTCATCCCCAAACCACTCCCATACCATTAATGACTTCTCAGGATAGCTGCTCCAAGCATCACCACACACAGGTTCTCTTTCGCATTCCTAGCACTGAGCCGCTCACACATATACAACCCATCAGCAAAATGTAAAAATAGCTGAAAAGATATAATTAGTTTGTATGCACTGTGAATTTTATATGTTTTTTCTGTTTCCTCCTTCGGTGGCCCATAAGACACAATCCCAATGGAAACAGGCCATTTGGGAGGGAAAGAGAGTGCTTTGCTGTGGTGTATGTTTAGCAAAATCCCTCAAATATTTTTCTCAGTTTTATATTGTGTGTATTTTTTATTGAGCACCATACAGAAATTGCAGATCGATTCTTCCACAGCTCCCCAAAGTTGAAATGCTTTGGAGCTGAGAGCTCAGTGCCTGCCAAACTTCATAATTAACTTCAATAACTCTTTAATTTAAACTTTAATTCAAACGCTTGTGTTTCTGGGGAACTGTAGGGAAAAAAAGTAAAAAAAAAAAAAAAGGGCAAATCAAACCAAGGAAAACCCGATCTCGTAAAATAAAAGCATCAGCCCCAGCTTGTGCTGTGCCAGAGGCAACTGGAGATCAACTGTCCTGTGCGGGTGCAAGAGAATGGAGAGGCATTGCTCCAGCCTGATGGAAAGTGAAGAAGACATCACCATCAGATGCTGGGAAAGTTCCAGGCTCAAACCTTCCTTTGCTGTGCTGGCTGTGAGGTTTTCCAAAGCCACTACCAGGGATGGATGGACCCAAGCCCTGGGAACACCACTAGCTTGGAGTTCTATCTGAATTTGGTGACAATGAATGCAAAATTTTAAAAGACTAAAAAGCACCCCAGATAAATTTGCCCTAATGCAACTAATTTTATACATGAAATAACCACAGAAATTTGCCTTTTTTCCCTTGTACATGGAAAAAAAAACAAAACAGATATAGTCCCGGATCTGTTCACTCAGGCAATGGTTTCTAATGGCTCCGTTGCTGCCCATGGGTAGCATCAGCTGGGCAGGGAAGCACCATGAGGACAGGAGAACAAGGAAGCTGATACAGGAAAAATAATGCAACTTCTCTTCCCCAGCAGACAAGCCTCAAGCTGTCACACCATGTATGCAGCCCTGGAGCTCTGTCAGCAAAATCACTGCACTAACCCACCCCAGATGAGTTCATGGTGATGGGGTCTTTAGGGAAAAGTAAATCACTGACAGAAGAGCAGGAGACAAAGCAGAACCAGGTAGGGAATGGAGATGACAGACCCTGGGAATACATTGACAAATTTGGCAGGGTTTCAGAGCTGTCAGTCCAAGCCTCCAGGAAGATGTCAAGAATTAATAGGGATGTACAGCTAAAATGGTCTGCTGTGGGTTGGAGGACACCAAGAAGCATCCTCCTGTCCTGCAGAACCTTGATGTTTCTATTGAACCAGCCTGGGTTGAGCTGGGGACAGCCAGAACAGGGTGACTTTTCACCATTTCACAGTGAAGAGCCCATCCCGTGGCAATTAAGCCTGATCCAGCACCTAATCAATGCAGGATTACTTTTTCTTTCCTTTTTTTTTTTGCTTCTATGATCTTGTTTCTAATAACAATAATAAAGAGAAAGCTCCTTTTGCACCATGCCACAGCAATGCCACTACCCCCTCAGCATCACCCCCCACCCAAGGCCACCATGTAGAAGCAGTGCTGGAGGGGAGTACCATGATGTGCCACTCAGAAATGAGAGCCAGGCAGTATCACCCCAGTGTCCACTGTGATGAATATACCAAGAAAGAAATTCAGATTAATGAGCCTGGGGGTTTCTACTGGCAAATGAATGCTTTCAGTCTATGGGTTAGAGAGCTGTTAACTATCAGACCTTATTGCTGTCATTAGTAAGCAGTCTCTGCCATGTTTATCCACTTTGTCCACTGGCCTGTCTCCCACTCCCTTATTCCTGCATCCACCTGGAGGTTTTTTCTCCCCATCCTCTGGCTCCAGCTGTGCTCATAAACAGGCTCTGGTGTTTCTATTGAGCCACGCTGGAGCAGGGAGGGGAAGGATTTCATATACCCATGTCTAAGCTGCTCATGTAATCCTGCAAGGAGGCTTGCTTTGAAGCTCTGGCCCAGCTCAGTGCAGCTGGCTCATAGCCACAATTACTTCTACTCTGAGCACGCACATAAAAGCCAAGTGAGAGGCCAAGGAGCGAGTAGTTAGCCTCAAACACTGACAAGTCAAAGGCAGTCAGTGCTAATCAATCCTTGAGCCTTTCCCAGTCGCAGCTACCCCATTACACAGGGACAAGAAGTCCCTCCATGGGTCAGCTGGGGCCACCCAGAAGCCTCTGGGGAGCCCATAAAGCAAAGAAGGATTGGGGACGGAGGTGACAGAGTCTGAGAGTGCAGTCCCAAATCACTACTTATAGAGAATTAATCACACCTCTCTGTCATCTCCTGTGCCCTCCTTCTTTCTGTCTTCTGTGGGCACAGTCAGAGCCACCACAGGTGCTAAGGTGATGGAGTTATTTCCATTTTTCTTGCTTTTCTTACAACCAGGGAATAAAAGAGAGTCTACCAAAGGAGCCTCAGGTGCCTGCTCATGAGAAGAAAGAATTAAGCAGGGAGCAGAGAAGAAAAGGGTAGCAGAAACATTGCAGTAATATGGGATAATAACCCTGCAAACACTGTGAGGCAGCTGAATAGTGATATTTTCTGGAGCAGTGTGGTATTGTAGGAAAGGAATCAGTAAACAAATATTTTCATTCAGCAGCAGGGAAAGGGGGGAGGCACAGCTGTTCCCTGGGTAGGAACTCCAGACTAGGAGAGTCATTAGAAGTAAGGAAGGGCAATTGCTCAAGATTATGGTAATGGAAGATACCAGCAATGTCAGAAGTGGTGAGTGGCCCCAAGCATGGCTCAGCTGTGTATCACACCTGAACATTACACTGCCATCCTCTCCTTCCCCCGCCTAAAACACCTGAACTGCTGGAGTACTGCACCTGCCCTGCAATGCTAGTTCCTACGGCTTGGAGAAGACCCCACAGGAATAGGATGGAAGCATCCACCAAAAGCCATCAGGATATCATCCCCACCATCCTGTACTTCATGCCCCTCATGGCCAGTGTGCCCTAGTGTGAACCTAATGCAGCTTTGGCAATTTGGCTTTAAGTGTCTTGTTGGAAACACTGAACCTGACACTCCTTTGCACCTTTATTTCCCAGTTTCAGGAACTGGTATCAGAGCTACTGTGATAGGCAGCTGAGTCAGATCAGGTTGATGTCCCACCTCCTTTTGCCACCAAATATCCCAGCAGAAGGATCATATTGTAACTGGCAGATATGGCAATTTGCACCTCTCCATATAGTGGCCCTTCAAGGCAGGTTCCATGGAAATGGGTCACCCCGGCACTTGAGGTTTTTTAAGTCCTTGAGGTTTTAAGTCCTTCTTAACCCATGTAGTCCCACATGCTGATTTCTAGTCTTCATTCCTATATGAATGGCTAAGCCCTCTTGGAGTCTAAATACAGAGTTATTAAAGTTATCATGAATTAAAGCTGGACACTGCAAAAGCCATGTCCTGGATTTGAATCATGCCTAAACCCTGCAACTTCTTAGAACTCTGGTGAAAGTTCTGGTGATTCAGCAAGAAGGTCCTCAGTTCTTTGCATTTTTTTACCAGCACTGTAAAGAGCCTGTTTACCAGATTTAATGTGCCTGCTGCATCTTTTGCACTACTGGTGCAGAAAGAACCACAAAGCGCATCTCCAGCACTCACCAGTCCAGGTCCTACAAACCCAGAATGTAGGGAGCAGCAAACACAGCAATTTACATTCCCTTCTAAAATGCTGCAAGAAATCCAATTGATCATTTGTAGCTATTGGATGGAAATCTTTAATTAACTGTCCTGAACCTGAAGTAGTGCTAGGGCTCAGCTGAGAGCCCTTATTCACAGCACAGCAGCCACATTCCAGCAATCCTACATGGCCTGCATATAAGCTATATCCTGCAAAGAAAACACAAGGCTAAGATTATCACTGAGTGCAATGACGTTGCAGACACTGCCTCACCTGCCTGTTAACACTATCTTCTGATGGACCAGGCAGTGATTCCTCATGGCAAACCAGTTGGATTTAAGTATTGGTCAGCAGACAACAATCCCAATGAGTAATGGGGGTGAATCCATTCCCAGTGCAACTAGGCTGGCACCAGTGATTTTAGGCTGAAGATAAATGTGGTCCTCCAAGGCTGGATTGCCACCCAGGGTCTCACGATCAATACCAGAATGAGAAGTTGTGTTGTTCCAAATCAAGGCAAGATTAACTCATAATCCAGAGCACTCATGGGGGGTGAAGTCACTTTAACAGGAGGGATTTGCCTGCTCAGAGCATTGACCTGAACAAGCTGGAGCCTGCCTGCTGTAATTTAAAAATGTTCAAAATCAAGGCTGCTGTTCCTATAGCTATTGAAGGAAGCTTAGCAACCCTGGGCAAAGATCCTGGGGCACAGGAGACAACAGAAGGAGAGCACAGGGATGTTTCACCATCACCCATGCATTAAACCTTACACGCCATATTGATGGGGGTCTTCAACTAGATCCCATACGGTGTGGTTTTGCTGAAAACACAGGTATTTGGTCCTTTGTTAGTACCAGATCAACTGTTTCCTTAAAAAAAAAAAAAACACTAAAAAAAAACCTCAACAAAAACCAACAAAACCAAACAAACCAAAACCAAACCGACAACCAAACAAGAATCTGCCTCTGTCACTGTACAAGGCCTATGGCAGGGTCTCCCTGCCAGATATGGGCTTCATTCAGGGCTGATCTAGGTTCCACTAAAATCAGCAGAACTGTGTGTCTGTCAAGTTGGTCCCACATGTCTCTGGATGACCTTGCCCTGAAGGATTTGCCGTTCTACACTGAGCACAGTATCAGCATTAACACCAACCATGCTCTTTCTTCTGTTTTTCCAGGTCCTCCCCACACTTGGCTGAGCAAGGCTGGCTTAGAAGGCTCTTTTCCCCAAGAAAATGGGGATTGACAGTGAAAACCCAGTCCTGAGGAATGTGCTCATCAGCTTTAACTTGCTTCTGCTGGGTGCTGTCCTCAAGCCTTTTGAGTGCCGGCTGGAGGTGACAACAGAGCCAGCCGAGAGGCCAGCAGTGGATGAGAAGGGTAGCTTGTCCAACTGCAGCCCACCAATCAAAGAACAGCCCATGGTCTTCCACCACATCTACAACATCAATGTACCCCTAAACAGCTGCTGCTCGTCCATGTTCAAGTCGTCAGCTGAGGAGGTGAGTTCAGAAGATGACCAGCTGGCGGAGTACACGGAGCAGACCTCTGACAGCGAGAGCCAGGTCACCTTCACCCACAGGATAAACTTGCCCAAGCAGGCCTGCAAGTGCTCCACCTCCCTCCCGTCCCTGCAGGAGCTGCTGAGCAGGATTGAGATGCTGGAGAGGGAGGTGTCCATGCTCCGGGACCAATGCAACTCCAATTGCTGCCAAGAAAATGCAGCCACAGGTAGTAATGCCATCCTGTTAGCTCTTGCTGGGGACTGAGGGATCAAGTGAAAGGCAGGAGAAATAAATACAAAACTGGTAATGCCACACAGACTGGCAACAGAGAAAAATCTGTATTTACCTATAATGTGGCTGTGGCTTTAGGGGAAAGCTCATCTTAGGGCCTCCAAGGCAGGAAAACCCCCAGGAGGGATTTGGTCACTTGAGCCCTCATGCCCTGCTCGCTGCAGAAACCCCATAGCCAGAGCTAAAGCCCCCTTACAGATAAAGTTACAGCTGGTAAGGGGTGAACAGGGTGATCTCCCTACCCTGCAGTCCTTGCAACAATGTTAGATCTGCCACTGCTCATGGGACGGGGAGGAGAGGAATAGCTGATGCTCTCCTAAGCTGTCTCGCAGCTGAAGGCAGCACTCCAAGAGCCATCAATAAACCCCTTTGTCTTCTCTGTAGAAGGGGTGAATGAGTATGAAAAGCTGAGCTTAAACGAATAAATAAATAAATGGGAGAATAATTTCTGTTGCCTTGAAAGATGCAAACAAAATTTGTAACAAAGGCACAAAACCATCAACAGGATACTTTAAGTGAATAAAAACGTGCGGTTTGGGAAGCTCTTCAAGAGCCCCCATTAGGGGTGCTCCATCAAAGACAGCCCTTCATTTCACCATGGCCATTCCTCAGAGACAGGGAAGCAGCATGCAGTTGAAATGAGGTGGGTTAGGAAAGGTTTGAGCTAGAGGCTGCATTTCAATAGGGCAGGAGCCAGTATACTGGTGGTTTTCCTTATGTCTTGGGAAGATCAGTAAGAGGGTTTGGTAAAATCACATAGAAAACAGGGGAAAACCTGTTTTAAAGAAATTTATTTGTAACTCTGATGAGCCTATTTGGGTTATTTGCAGCATATGCAGATAGTACCATTAAATATTCATCGCTTGGTGGAGTCTCCACTCGGAACACAGATGTGCTGAGCTAAAACTGGAGTAATTTATTTTTACCAGAGTTGCTTTCAATTTGCTGCACTGCAAAGGAGACCAGGATCCCTACCCCACCACCTGAGGCATTTCCCCAAGGAAAGATGCTCTCTTCCAACACATTTACAAGCATCTTCTTTTGATAACTTAACTAGAGGCTGAGATCTGAAGAGATCCTGATTGTCATTCCCAGTATTTGTAGTTTAGATGGGAAGCATCCTGCAAAGTAACCCAAATGGTGCTGTCTAGCACAGCATGTAACTGAAATCCTTTCACATGAGCATCTGCTGCACACAGACACACACACACACCCCATAGGAAATGATGCTCAGGTAGCTCAGCTAGGATAGAAAACTTACTTAGGGGACAGAGTCATGCAGCTTCAGGTCTTCATGGTGCAGAGGTTTCCCAAGGGTCAAGGAAGCACAGAAAGTGTTTCTGTTCATCCTCAGTTCACACAAGGAAGAAAAGCAGTAAAAAATAGCAAAGAAACATTAGGCTGGCTGAGATAAACCCTAAACTAGAGCAATAGGTCCATGTTACAGGGCATAACAGGAGAGAACTGGCAATGTTATAGTGACTGGTGCCTTCATCCCCGGGCATCCCTCCTCATCCTAGAGTGTCCTGTGAAAGGTTGCTGGGTAAAGCGGGAACTTTAGAGGTGGTGGCTACGGTGGCCGTGTGCTTTCCTCGCTTTCCCACAAACCCAGTACGCCCAAACCCTGATACTTTTTACAAAGCCAACAGCTCCATCTTAATCAGGCTCCCCAAGATAGGGGTGACGATGATGTCTTTGGGTACATACCTGCTTCATGTAGGAGAGGGAGTGAGCAGACTGGGATCTCTCACCTGTAAAAAGGAACAGTGGGTGGAGAGGAGACAACTGGAATCATGGCTGGTGCAGACGACTTGGCTAAGGAGGGCTTTTTCCCACTAAGAGGTCTAGGGATGTTCCCATCAACTGAGTGCTGAGCCAGTTGATGGGAAGCAAAGGGAGCACTTGCTGTCCAGCAAGGCTAATGGCACCCATAGCTATGGAGGCCAGTATTCCCAAGGGCACAAATAAACTCCTGGACACCCACCCATCCCCTCCATGAGCACATATCACCAATTCTGCCTCCACCAGCCACAGGCTCCCCAGAGCTGAGCATGCTCAACCAAAGGAAGGACCATCCCCTGCTTGCCCCACACCTTTTCTCCCTTCCCCACAGCCCATCAATGGGCTGATGTGGGAGGCTCTGACCCTTGGTCCTGCATCCTTGCAGGGCAGCTGGATTACACCCCACAGTGCAGCGGCCATGGGAACTTCAGCCTGGAATCCTGCAGCTGCGTGTGCATGGAGGGCTGGGCGGGCAGCAACTGCTCTGAGCCCCACTGCCCCCGGGGCTGCTCCAGCCGCGGTGTCTGCCTGGAGGGTCAGTGCATCTGCGACAATGACTATGGGGGTGAGGACTGCTCCCAGCTCCGTTGCCCCAGCGGCTGTGGCTCCCATGGGCTCTGCGTGGATGGCGAGTGCATCTGTGAGGAGGGTTTCACCGGGGAGGATTGCTCCCAGCTGCGGTGCCCCCATGACTGCTCAGGGAAGGGCTACTGCGTCAATGGCACATGCATCTGCCAGGAGGGCTACGCCGGGGAGGACTGCAGGTGGCTGCACTGCCCCAACGCCTGCAGCGGCCGTGGGGTCTGCCAGGATGGTCTCTGCATCTGCGAGGAAGGCTATGAAGGGCAGGACTGCTCATCAGGTAGTAGGGGCGTGCGCGGGGAGAGCCAGACCCTAATGTATGAGCAAGGGCCTCAAGATGCCCACAGCACTATACGGGCATCATGAAGCCTGGGAGAAAGCCATACTTGGCAAAGCATGTCACATAGAACCTGCTCAGGCCCCACAGTTTGACAGACTCCCTTCTGTCACTGTCCCTTTCCCCAGAGACAGAAGTTTGGGAGGTGAGCAAAAAGACAGTGAAGTTCACCCCAGCACTGGTGGTAAACCCTTGGCGTAAAACCAGTTGCAGTCAAGTTCTTCTCAGCTTCTGCCTTGCTATAGCAGTTAATACAATCATAGATAGCATGTAACCGCCAGCCCAAAGCCCACACACATGTCCCACCAGCAGATCTATGCACCTTTCCCCACAGTGGGGTGAGGATAAGCCACGCACACTCTGATGCTTTCCTTACCTCTGCCCTTCCTATCAGTGGCTCCACCTGAAAACCTGCGAGTGACAGGGATCAGTGACAGCTCCATTGAGCTGACGTGGGACAGCAGCCGGGCAGCCACCGAGTACATCATCTCATACCAGCCGGCATGGCCAGGGGGCACCCAGCTCCAGCAACGAGTGCCTGGAGACTGGAGCAGCATCACCATCACGGAGCTAGAGCCAGGCGTTGCCTACAATGTCAGCATCTACACAGTCATCAGTGATGTCCTGAGCATCCCTGTTACCTCCAAGGTAGTGACCAGTAAGTATGCTACTGCGCTTCTCACTTGGTACTGGATAGCTGGAGGTGATGTTCAAGCTGGTTAGCATTTTCCATAAAAGCCTTCTAGCAGCAGAAACTTGAGCTTTAAAAAAAAAAAAAATCAAATATTTGGTATGCTTTTATCCTCATATATATCTGTATAGAGATATAGGAAAGGGGGAAATGTGTCCATCCTGGGCAGGAGGACTCAGTCCGGATGAAAACCTGAATGAGTAAAAATCAAAGAAAATTTCACCGTCTGACTGAAGCCCCCTGTTCTATGGCCCAAAATATTACACTTATTTCCTCATAGAAAATATTGCAATATATCACAGAAGTCATAGATTCTCCTCCCACTCCTGGGTGGGTTCCCCATGACGAATCCCCTTGACATAGGTGGTAGAGGGGATGCTGCTGTGCATCAGGAGATACATAGTTCTGACAGAGCCATGATGCACAGAGGAAAATGGGAGTAACAATCTGTAATGGCAACCTCCAGAAAGGATCCTTGGAAACCAAAGATACAGAGGACAGTGGGAAAACAAACTATCCAGACACCCCTTTTGCAAGCCCATCATTCTCGCTGTTCACACAGTAATGCAGTGGGATTCTTCAGTGTTCAGCAGCCCAGCCATTTCCCTCTTCCCCCTCCAACCCACCAAGGGCGGGGACAAAGGGGCTCTGGTAACAGCTACCAAAATGTTCCCTGTTTTTGTTGCCTGAATAACAAAATAGCCACAGGGAGCAGGGTGGGGACAGGCTCACCCTCACACCCATTCTGCTCTGCTCACCACCCCTCTGCTCCCTTCCAGACCTTGCCACACCGCAGGGCCTGAAGTTCAAGACCATCACAGAGACGACAGCAGAGGTGCAGTGGGAGCCCTTCTCTTTCCCTTTTGACGGCTGGGAGATCAGCTTCATCCCCAAGGTACTGCCACCACATACATGGCATCACAGGGTACACCTGGTCACCCTAACAGCATTAAGCAAGCAGATCTTAAATTAGCTCCCAATTACACCCCCCTCCAAGAAACCTGACCTCTGTTTGAAATCTATATGCTTCACATCAGACAGCCCCAAATACCTCAACCCACAATTGCCAGCTTGTATTTCTCCAGTAGTCTTTGGTGTCAAGACACACTTGTCCTCAAAGAAATTCCACAATAAAATTGTGAGACAAGCATATAGAATCATAGAATCATAGAATCAAGTAGGTTGGAAAAGACCTTTAAGATCATCAAGTCCAACCTTTACCCACGTCCACCACTAAAGCATGTCACAAAGGGACCCATCTACATATTTTTTGAACACTTCCAAGTACGGTGATACCACCACTGCCCTGGGCAGCCTGTTCCAATGCCTGATCACCCTTTCAGGAAGAAATTTTTCCTAATATCCAATCTAAACCCCACCTAATGAGGACATTATCTCATCCTATCACTCATTACTTGGGACAACAGACTGACCCCCACCTCACTGCAACCTCTATTCAGGTAGTTGTAGAGAGTGATAAGGTTCCCCCTGAGCCTTCTCTTCTTCAGACTAAACAACCCCAGGTCCCTCAGCCGTTCCTCATCAGACTTGTGCTCCAGACCCTTCATGAGCTTTGTTGCCCTTCTCTGGATGTGCTCCAGCACCTCAATGCCTCTCTTGTAGTGAGGGGCCCAGAACTGAACGCAGTATTCAAGATGCAGCCTCAAATATCAAGTACAGTGCCAAGTACTGGGGGATGATCACTGCCCTGACCCTGTTTGCCACATTATTCCTGATATAAATGAATAAACCTTCCAGCCATGCTACCTCTTGCTGTAACCCTCTCTTTATCCCTTCCATCTCCTTTGCCTTGACCCTTCCTCCTCCTTCTCTTCCTCACACCAGCTCTCTGCACGCTAAGTTACCCAAAGCCATCTAGATTGAACTGAGCAGCTGCCGGTTCTCAGACAACAACCATCAGTACCCCTGAGTCCCACACACGTCTAATTCCTGCCATGGAATTTTAATTTTAGTGATGAACAGGTAGAAATTGTGCCAGAAAAGATGAAAGGATGAAAGTGTTGCCCTAAATATCACATATTTTCTATGCATGGCAACAAAAATTGTACATCGTGTTTTATCTGTATTCATAATTTCTACACCATTTAGCCATAAATATAGCTTCAATTGTATATGAAGCCTCTTTACAAGAGCATTCAAGCCCCAACAGTAAAAGAAATGCTGATTAAGAGCTCAATTATGACATTTTCACTTGTATAAAACCCTCGCTGGAGTTGAAGGCAGCTCTGGGCAGCTGAGAACTGCAGAACTTGGCCCCAAAGTTTTAAATGCTCTCAACTGCAAAGTATCATTATACAGCAGGAAGCAAGGGCCCAATTGCTTTAAATAACTCATTCCCTCCTTTCCAAAAAGGCTGGAAGAATCTGGGTGCAATTTCAGGTACAGCCACAAGTAAATTGTTTTGGAAGTCAAAGTTCAGGTACTGCAGGTATAAATCCTAGGATAATTTTAATTCACCATCAGGATAAAAGCCAAAATGATAAGGCAACATCAGGGAAGAGTTTCTGGCAGCAACAAATAGCTATCTTTCAAACATTTCACTGATACTCAGGAATTAAGCTCAACAGCATCCCCCCTGAAGCAGATAAATGGGGATATATCCATTTTATGGTGAGGAATTGCAAGGGTAGAAGCAAACTTCTCCCAGCAGGGTCATCATCATCAATAGGTTTTTCTCAAGCCAGCACAAAAATACAAACCATTGGTCCTCCTTTCTATTTTTAATCTTAAAACTTAAACACACATATTAGGATGTAAAGGAAGAGATAAGGTGCAAAAGGAAGGCTGTTCCTGGATGCAGGTTTTGGAGGCAGGTTCACATTTTCCATAAAAGCCTTGAGCCTTAGGAAAAAAAAAACAAAAACCAAAAACCAACCAACCAAACAAACAAACAAACAAAAAAAAAAAACAACAAACAAAACAACAAAATATTGGGTATATTTTTATCTCAGAGCTCACTGGGCTCTGAAGTGTTTGCATCCATTAGTCAAGCACATGATCCTGCTATGTAAAGGCATAGTTGTGCTCTTGCCTCTCAGCTACCAGAACTGGACTCTGTCAAACCTCCATCACCAACTTTTCTCCTAAAATAAGGCAGGGTGTGCTGTCTCCTTCATTGTCTGGAGACAGTGCTTGCTTAGGTAAATGCCATGCCCCAAATAAACCCAGGAGCTAGGCCCACAGGCTAAAACCAACAAAGTTATAACAGCAGCATCGCAGATAAACTGAACAAGCAAAACTGAGCTTGCTCTGTCTTCCTGAAAACTGGATGAGAGGATGCTTATTTGGTCCCCAGCATCCCTGTGAGGATGCTCACACCTTCCTGCACAGCAGTTCTCCTTCCATGGTGCCTGTGATGCTCTCGTCCCCTGAAAGTGGGTCAGGTGGGGACTGCCTGTCTGCTGCCTGCTCTGGGGATGGGGTGGGAAAAAGATGAAGCAAAGACAGATTTAGAAAAGAAAATTAGGAAAGGTAAGATGGCAATTTATGGCTAGAATGGAAGATTTCCTGTTTAATGAGAAAAGAGGTGAATATGAATTGAGAGCTATGTGCAAAGATTTGTTTAGCATGTTATTAGTGAAGACAGCAGCAAGAAAAGATCGTTTGTCTAAACACTGGCAGGAAAGGTGACATTTGAAGTTGCTTAAAGCCTTGCAGTTTTTCAGAGCAAATCCACAAAGTATAATGATTTTAATAAAGATACTTAAAAAGCAGGGGGTAACAAAATAAAGACCTTACAGTTTCATACCTATATATGAACATATTCTAGCATGTATATATATATACACATTTTTATAAATATGTACTTTTATATATATATATATGTGTATATATATATGTACTTTTACATATATATATATATATATATGTATATATATATATATAAGGCTCCTGGCACCTGAATAGCAGGGAAAAGGAGTCTAGCCTAGGCCTTGGTTTGATTATCTTTTCTCTTCTGGAGGACAGCAGAGACACAGATGGCAAAATATGAGGGGTGAGTGGGAAGGGATGGTTGAGGATTTCTCAGACCAACAACATAGGTGCTTCACATTCAATGGGTGACTTCACCTTAGGTTTCTGCACCTCCATGATGGGATGTGCCAAGGTGAGGATGCAATGTGGAGATGCAGGGCTGGGTGGGGAAGAACGCAACATGGGGGGCACTTCTTCTCCATGCACCAGAACCCCCAGAAGACCTTTTCTTCTTTCCTTTTTTAACACTTTTTTCCACTCCCTGGCAGAATAACGAGGGCAGTGTGATCGCCCAGCTCCCCAGCACCGTCACCACCTTCAACCAGACAGGGCTGAAGCCAGGGGAAGAGTACACCGTCACTGTGGTGGCCCTGAAGGAACAAGCCAGGAGCCCTCCCACCTCCGACAGCGTCTCAACCCGTGAGTGAGCCCAGCCCCAGCAGCACAGCAGTGCTCAGGGCTTGGTCCCCAAAATAAGGTCCCATCAGCGAGAGCAGCCTGGCATTGCATGGGCAGAGATAAAACTAGCACTACCCAACTACCCAGGATACAGGTGCATCACAGCAATGGTTTCTTCATGTGGTATTTTGTCCCTCTCGGCCCCTCCAATCCCCGAGTTGCTGCAAGCACAGAAACGGTGCAAGGTTAATGGGGCTGGGAGCAAAGGGTCAGGTCTGCTTTTATTATATAGCTGGATAAATCGCTCTTCCTCACTAATCTCATATTTTGGAGGCTGGATGCCCCCAAGAAATACCTCCATAAATGCATTGCCTATTTGTGTATTACAGATTAAAACTCCCACCTGCTTTTCTGCCACTAAATGCCTTGTACTCCCACCAATTCAGGCAAATCAGGCAGTAGGGCAGGGAGCCAGGAGCAACAGCACATCCCTTCCTAACCAATTTATTTGGCGGGTCGCTGGTCCATCCATAGGCTAGAGGAAATTCAATTGGGTGTTTTCCTCACTGAAGGAGACGTGGCAATGGGCATTGCTCATTGGGGAGAAGAGGCTCTCCACACCAGATCTGCTGCAGTCTGCCTTGGCAGCCAGGCAGACATCTACCTCTATCCAAGTTGCTGCAAACGAAAACCGCATTCAAATAGCTACTGGAGGGTTATAACGAAGTGATGCTCTCTCCAGGCTGCTAATTTCCAGCAACAATGAGAGCAAAGGGAGGGTCCTTCCACCAGCAGCAGCTTGCTGCAAGTCTGAGCTTCCTCAGCACAGTCCTCTCCTCCCGGGTTGTCTCCGCACTCCGCTCGACATGGCTTAACAGAGACACCTCCTGGTCAAGCCCAAATCTCCTTTTCCCTAGGAAGTCAGCAGAAAATAAGAGAGGCTGGTACTTCAAACTCAGTGGTTGACCTTTGCTGGAAAGCACAGATAGGGTGATAGGCTCCCAGCTCTCTGTTTCATAAAGACATCCCCATGCTGGCATGTCTGCCTTCCTCTGCAGCACCCCCATACCTTTTCCCCTATCATCCTTGTTCTGCCTTAACACTTTGTGCTGGGATCAAGCAGCAAAGGCTGACAGCTAAGTAGAACTTGATGCTACCTAGCATCACCCAGATGATGGGACAACATGAGGAGTTGGAGATTCAAGGTTTGGACAACCTGGTCCTGGCCAAGCTGGACACCCAGCTCCTACCTAAACACCATGCTGCCAAGCTGTCCTACCTTCTCTGTTGGTGTTTTTCCCCCCACACCTCATCCCATGGCCCCCAATTCCCCCATATATCTTTTTCTAACCCTCCTTGGTCCTTCCCACCCCTGCCCACACATAACCTCCCCCAGAACTTCCTACCCTGGGGTGCAGTGTTCAGCACATCCTTCATATATACCGTCATTTTTTAATATATACAGTACATTAGATGTATTTTCATACAGTATAGCCTGAATTACAGAACCAGAGTGGGTTTTTTCACCCACCTTGTGATCATGTAAGTGATAAAATAGGATGCCCAGTAGGCTCTGTGCATCAGCATTGCCATGGTACAGGAATGATGGCCAGGTTTGGCCCATCTGTCCATTTGTGCAATGGTTAGGTCCTGCTGGACTCAAACGTTCTATCACCTGGGCTTAAGATTGTGATTTCCAGGGGTTGAGTGTTGGAGGATGCAGAGGAAGGAAGGGCACAGTTCTCTGCAAAAGAAAGTAGAAATGTCCAAAATGGTGTCCCAGTAGATCCCCACTATGAATTTAGCTAAAACCCTTTGTCTGAGAGGATTTGGAAGACACCCTCCATAGCCCCACACCCAGCTAGTTAGACTTGCCAAAACACTTGCATTTTCTTCTCTCTCCCTGCTGTTAAGACATCAACAGTTTTACAGGCTGATTCCTCAGCTTAATGACAAACCAGGAGCTGGCACAGAAGCAGGAACATTTCTAGAGATGTTCCTCAGTTCTCAATGCTTGGATTAGTCTTTGGCCCCACATTATTTAACACATTGTCAACACCCTTCAAAAGATATAATATCATTGCTGATAAATTTTGCCAGTGATGGAAAAGCTCAGAAAAGAGTAAATTGAGTGAAAGGAGATCATTGATAAAAAGCAGTTTGAATGTCTTGAAGAGCTGGGCACAAGGGAAAACTACATGGTTTTCAATGCATCACAAAGCACAAGCAGTTATCCAGGAGCAAAAAAAGGTGGATCACAGTTAGACACAGGAGGTTTTATCCTAGGAGGTGCCACCTGAAAAAGCCAGAGAGGAATTGTTGCCAATAACCAGCTTGAGAGAAGTGCATTAATTGCATTATAGATGTAATGGGCATCAATGGGAAAGCTGATGGGTTCTGCTCTGGTGTCCATAGCTTGGGAGAGACAACACTGAAGTGAAGAAAAGAGCTGGGAGACTGGAACAAGGGACTAGGAGCCCACCAGAACCAACCCCCCCGAGTACCTTGGGGCTGTGTCTCTTACTTATGCCACCCCAACTGCTAATTCAGACCACTCTGAGGTGGCATTGAAGCATCCCTGAAGCGCAGCATCTCCAAAGCTGCCACCTTTCCCCATCCAACTGTCCCAAAATAACAGGTGCCCATTTTCCCCCTCCTCTGCAGTCATCGATGGACCGACGCAGATCCTGGTGCGGGATGTCTCCGACACAGTGGCCTTTGTGGAGTGGACGCCGCCGCGTGCCAAGGTGGACGCCATCCTGCTGAAGTACGGGCTGGCAGACGGGGAGGGCGGGAGGACCACCTTCCGCCTGCAGCCCCCCCTCAGCCAGTACTCCCTGCAGGCCCTGCGCCCCGGCGCCCGCTACCGCCTCGCTGTCAGCGCCCTCCGGGGTGCCAATGAGAGCCAGCCAGCCCTCGCCCAGTTCACCACAGGTAGCTAACTAGCTTCGGTGGGAGAACTGGCATGAATTTCAAAGCCACCAGCAAGCATGAGCAGATGGCTTGCTGTGCTCTGCAGATAAGCTGTCCTGCAACGAGCATGGTGTCGTTTTGCATATCTGGAGCTGAACTGAGGCGTTTTTATGTCTGGGATTTAGTGGTACCTGGTTCTCCCACAGCCCAAGTGAGCTGGGGTTTAATCCGGAGTACTGGAAGGAAGCAGATCAATGGAAACATGATGGTTAAGGTGCAGGTCTGAATGGAGATGCCTGAATGCAGGTGCCTTGCACCCTGTCACAGTCCCACTGAAGAGCAAGGCAGAGTAAAGGATTCAGCTCACCTTAAAACACATACCCTAAAACCACTCTCTGACACTCCTCCACTAGTGCCTACATTTCTGTTTTGTCCCTGAACCTCCAGATCGTCTTCATGCCCTGTGACCCACAGGGACTCTAACATGGTCCCTAGGGCTGCCCAGGTGATCCCGGATACCAGCAACCAGGCAGATGACTGAGTAACACACATTTAGAAGACAGCCCCTGACCAAACCCCTCTTTGTCCACATCCTGCTGCACCATCAAAGCTGAACCTGCTGCTGTCTAGGACACATTCCCTGTTCAGGCCCACACCTTAGCTTGAACCCAAAGCTAAAATTTGAAAATCCCACAGTTTATGCCCTTAATGGCATACATAGAGAAACACGCAATTCTCAAAAGCACCAAAACAGGAAGCACAGGTCTGAATTCAAGGCAATGCCCACTCCCATTCAGCATTGAGAGCCAAGGCAGATTCCTTGCCCAAGGAACTGGCGGCTAAAAGCAGCCGAGACAGAATGTGGTTATCTTATTTATCCTCTGAATACCCTAAATGGTCGGTAAAACTTTAATTAATGTTAAGCCTGCAGATAGCTAACAGGTTTAATTTACCGTGCCATAAAGGAGGAGGTAAAGTGCGTATTTCACTGTGGTTTATGGTATATAAATTACTTGTCATGTACGTTACTGGTGGCTACCAGGCTCCTACTACAATAACTGCAGTCTGTGAATTGTGTGGGTACATATCTCTACAGGTAAGTATTTCAGATGAGATGTTCACCCTGACTGATTTGCTGAGTTGGCCTTCTTTGTTTTATTTCTAAAAGGCAACATAAAAAAATTCCCCCCTCTAAACTCAGGTCCCTCAAGGACCAGTAATCACCCCCTATCTGCTGTCACCAACCTGTCACTCACTTAAGAAGGTTATCATGTAAATCAGAGCAGATGTGGTGCACAGCCTCAGCAACATTAATAAACAAACCCTGTGGGAGTGCCTGAGCCTGTAAAGATGCTCAAGGTTCTCCTAAGAGCAGTTCAGGCCAACGCATCACTGCTACAGAACCCTTATTTTCTTATGCATGCTGCCTCAGTTTCCCTTATTCTAGTGTAGGGGGAAAACACTCTTCCTTTTCAAATTACATGCCACTAGCTCCTGAAGCAACTTACTGAGGGATGCTGTGAATGCCCCAGCACTTACATTAGTCTCATAGGAGGTATCTCCCAGTCTGTGCTGAGCGGGAGGTGAGAGCAGATCCCCCAGCCCCTTCTGCACTGACATACCCTGGGGAAGTGGGACTGTAAGAGGGGCCTCACGGACATCACACATGAGTACCCCTAAACTTCCATTTAGCTATGCCAAGGCTATGGGGTGCGTTCCCAGTGCCCAGCATTGAGATGGTTCCTCTCTCCCTTGTGTTGCACAGAGATCGATGCACCCAAGAACCTGAGAGTGGGCTTGCGGACCCCTGCCAGCCTCGAGCTCACCTGGGACAACAGCGAGGCTGACGCACACAGCTACAGGGTGGTCTACAGCACCCTGGCTGGGGAGCACTACCATGAAGTCCTGGTGCCACGTGACACTGGTCCCACCACCCGGGCCACCCTCACAGGTATGCGTGCACCCATGTGCCTGTCCTTCCCCTCCCGATTCTTTCTAGCAGGTAGGGCAGCAGAGAGCCCAATGCTTAGTCACCCTTATGTGGCATATATTTGAAGCTGTTTTGGAGTTTGTTAGCTATAAGGAGAAGGTTTTCCTTAGGCTGAAGCTCATTTTCCCCTTTGTGGATCTGGATTTGAGCACTGGTTATCCATGAGCTGAGCAATGCACCTCCAAGTGATGTACCTTTCAGTGATGCACAAGAATCAGGGGTCTGTCAGGTGCTAAATAGGGCTGGCAGGAAGCAAAGCGAGAAATGGGGAGAGGAAGCCTTTTTACGCTCATCTAGAGGAAAATATTTCACCCTTCTGTTTTTTCCTTGCTGGGAAAGAGCCACAGGCATAATGCCCCATAGGTAGTGATGGGAAGCCAGGCTGCCTGAGTTTCTTACCTTTTTCCAAATCAGGCACAAAGCAGACACCAATCCAGGGGTGCTGTTTTTGAGCAAGTCCTTCAAGCCAGCACAGGGGGTGCCACCAGGGGCTGCAAATACCACCCATCTCCTACTGCAAGGAAAGTCCCAAACACATTGCAGCACCATGTGAGATCTGGTTTCCTCCTTTTCAACTACAACTGTTTGCCTGCTGGATTTGGTGCTCCAGTGGCTATTTTGAACAAAAAAAAAAGACTTACTTACCCACATAGAGAAAAGATCACTCCTTCGAGTTGAAGCTCTTCAGTATGGCAGGACACCAGGTTCTTTCACTTTGACTTTCTGCCCTCCTGGGAACTCCCCAGCCCAGCATCTCTGCCATACAGAACTATAGGAGAAAGTTCAGTGCGAAAGTCAAATGCGAAGTTACAGGCACAGCGGCACTGAGTCATGAGAAAGGCTGGAGGGCAGGAAAGCAATTAGAGCAGTTAGCTTGAAAAATGTGGTATGAGGAAAAAAGAAAATGTTAGGGGTAGTTTCTGCTGCATTTGTGATGAGGACGTGCAAGGAGAAGTGAAATTAAAACAGAGACACAGTACTAGTTGCCTGCTAGCTTTCCTCTAGGTCATTTACTGCATTTCTAGGTGAGGAGGAGTACTAAAAATGGGCCAAATCCCCCTCCTTGGGGCAGAGGTGCAATACTACCCCAGTGACCCAAACTGCAATGACAGCGAAGGCAGAGCCTGAGCTTGCCTTGGAGGACGTGACAATCTGAAGGCTCTCGTTTTTCTCAATCAAAATAAAAAAAAAAGCCAAGTCTTTGCCAGGCTCAGGCAAAGCTACAAGAACACCTCCCCCCCTCTTTCCCAAGCAAGCTCCAGAGATGCAGAGGCTTAAGTTGATAGCAGTGAGCAATTTTTATATAGTGCTTCCATCATCACCTAAGTGCATTGCTTCTAGTTCCCACAGTACCATGTAATAAACATTTTTTTTTTTAATCTAATCATAGCAGAAAATAACAAAAAAACCCAAAACATTCTGGTGGCAAAAATAAATATATAAATTATAATTAAAAAAAAAGCCAGGATAGCCATGTTGTGGGTGGCACACGGGCATCTCCCATAGATCTATTACCCATGTGGTAGTCCTGCCCACCGAAGCCTTGTTGCACGTGGTACAAAGCCTGTTGGGGTGGGTTTCCTGGGGCCTGGTGGGATCAATGGCACAAAAGCAACAGCGATTCCTTCAGCTGCCTTTATCTGCCTTCAGGAAAAGCGGTGAGGAACAGCGCTGAGCAGAGCTCATCAAAAGATTTAAGCTTAAAAATACAGCAAGCCTTGCCCTGCCACATGTCTCTTCAAAATCAGCATTTGCACAGAAATATCCATAATTTTGCTCTACCCAGAAGAGCTGGGAAAGAAAAGGCATCATTTTATATGCTCTTGCTCATCTTGTCCTTCTCTCAGGCTCTTCTCGTTTCCAGGATACTTCTGACACTTACTGGGCAGGGGCACAGGGGTCCATCTGCCCCCTGGCACCAAGACTCCTTTGTAGCAAGAGGAGAGGAGTAGGGAGTGGGGATTTCCCTCTCTCCTGGCCTCTCTGGGAAGGTTTTGGTGGTTTCAGGGCATACTGCCTCTGGGCAAGGCAGTGTGAGGCCAGGCTGGAGGGTTTATGGCTTTCTCTAACCACATGGGAAAGATCATTAAATGCAGGAAAGGGGGGATAAAGCCACCAGCAGGTAAGCAGAAGTGATAGGCAGAGGCAGGAGATGTTCCATGGAGATAAAACAGTGATCAGCAAGGGGTGCACAGGAAAGGAGCTGGGTGAGCTCAATTCCTATGTCCCTTGAGCAAGGCACAGCAGGATATATCCACCCCAAGGATCGGCACTTGATTCAGCTCCCAGAAAGACTGCGCCTTTCCTAATTAATCTGCATTTCATTTACTCTGCATAATCTATTTCTCTTCAAGACACCAGCCCTGTGACAATATTTGATGTTGATTCACTTTGGAAACAAATATAGCTACTTTATCGTTCCCATCTCAGCTCACACACACACAATTTCTGCCTTGATGCCAGCAATTACAGCAGACCTCAGCAACAACTTTTAAAAACTGCCTATTTCTGAGCTAGCATAATCTGAATTCCCTGTTCAAAGGCATTCACAGTGTTTATTAAAAAGGCTCTGCTCTTCTGCAATATGCGGAGAAACTCCTGACCTGTGGGAGGGCTGCTAACCCCAGGAAATGCTCAGGAGGGTGTCCCCCCAGCCACGGGAGGTGGGGGGGGCATCACACTGAAGGTGGTGCTATCATGCACCTTCTTTTCCTTTGCATGCCCCCATTAGATCTGGTGCCAGGGACAGAGTACGGCATCGGGATTTCAGCCGTGATGGACAGCCAGCAGAGCGTGCCAGCAACCATGAATGCCAGAACAGGTGAGCTTGGCCCCATTGCATGCCCCAAGCACAGCTGGGGCTTAGATATCCCCGTGGCACGGTCCATGCATGGAGATCAAAGTCGACACCAACCCTCTCCCACAGAACTTGACAGCCCCCAGGATCTCCTGGTGATAGCGTCCACTGAGACATCCATCTCACTGGCCTGGACCAAAGCCACAGGTCCCATTGACCACTACCGCATCACCTTCACCCCTGCCTCGGGGATGGCCTCTGAAGTGACAGTGCCCCAGGATCAGTCACAGTTCACCCTCTCGGAGCTGGAGCCTGGGACAGAATACACCATCTCCATCATTGCTGAGAGGGGACGCCAGCAGAGCCTGGAGGCAACTGTGGATGCCTTCACAGGTAGAGAGAAACAAGTTGGGATGGGGCCAAGGGCACAGACCACCACCCCATGGTGGCACTTCCACCAGCCCACTGCTGAAACTCTTGAGATGGCAATGGGGATGAGAGCTGGAGGGAAAGCTTCTACATGGGAGAGGTGCACTGACCTCAGAGAGGGGATGGACCTATCAGTATGGGGACACTGTTCCCTTCATCAGAACACCAACTAGATTTGCTTGGCTGGAGGCTTCCAGAAGGACAAAGCAGGGTTGGGGGAATAGCCAGCCCATGCTGTCCTCTGTGGTCAGGGTGGCCTGGGTGTCCATAAGAAAGAGAAATGAAGTCTTGAGAGACCTCACAAGAACCTATGTGGGAAAAGCCTGCAGCCGAGAAGCCTAGACAACACATACCATCTGTAGTGGGAACAGCCCCATCACCCAGCATGTTTGCAGGCAGAGCTGAGAAAAGCACCATTTTCCACCTCCAGGTTCTGCCTCTTCATCCCATCACAGTTTCAGATCAATGGAGAGCCCAGAGCTCCAGCTTTGCTACCTCTGTTGGTTATTTCCCATACAAGAGCTGGGGAGAAGAGGGAGTCCAGGGTGTGCACACAGTTGGGGTTCCATCTTCCTTCTCCATTTTGCAGGGGTCCGGCCCATCACACAACTCCACTTCTCTCAGCTGACATCCTCCAGTGTGAATGTCACATGGAGTGACCCATCCCCACCAGCAGACCGCCTCATCCTCACCTACAGCCCCCGGGACAAGGAGGAGGCACAGCAGGTCACACTTGACGGCACCCGCAGGCATGCCAGCCTGATGGGCTTGCAGCCATCCACCGAGTACCTGGTGTCACTGGTGGCCATGCATGGCACCATCAGCTCTGAGCCTGTTGTGGGCTCCATCACGACAGGTACCATGAGACCCCACACAACAGGCATGGGACCCCACTGGGAGGGCAGGCAGGGGAATAGGGAGCAGACCTGCCTCCCACAGCTTTGTTTTTCTTCTCCATCTCACCAGGGATCGATGCACCGAAGGACCTCAGAGTGGGAAATGTCACCCAGGAGTCCATGAAGATCTACTGGAGCCCTCCCATTGCTGCCTTCGACCACTATAGAATATCCTACCGTGCTGCTGAAGGTAATGGTTCAGACACCTCTTGCTCATGCTCTGAACTTGTAGCTGCCAACCGTCTTTTTTTCTGCTCACACAAGCAAGCTGCCAGGTCATCCTCACCCAAGGCAGCATTCCACTGCCCTGGGTAAAGCCACCAGTAGCTGGGAGTACCAAGAGGCTGCAGGGACAGAGGACAGTGTCTGGGAGGAGGAAGGGAAGGGACCACTGTAGCTAAGGGCCAGCTCAGCCCAGAGGGGCAGAGGGAGTGGCCCCTTGCAATGTTCCCTCCTAGGGAATGGCTCATTATTCCCCAGCTCATCTCCCTTGGCCCCAGTTTTGCCTATGATGTTGTTGAAAAGGCCAAGCCAGAAGAGTGATGGGCAAGCAGGCATGCACCTGCAGGCACAAGACCCAATTACCCCATTATCAGCCCTAGAGAGGGCTTGAGCCATTGCCCTCCTCTCCCAAGCCCCTCTTGTACCCCAGGGACAGGGCCTGATGTCAAAGCTCTTGTCTCCATCCCCACAGGGAGGACAGACAGCACTGCAATCACCAGTGATGCCACCGAGTACACGCTTCGCCAGCTGCAGCCTGCGACCAAGTATGAGATCGGGGTGAAGAGCGTGCGGGGCAGGGAGGAGAGCGAGGTGGCCTCCATCACTGTGCATACAGGTGGGAAGGAGCTCCTGGTGGGAAGCATCAATCAAACAGTGCTGGGTCCAGCTCCGAGCAGGCCCTGTTTGCACTAGCAATCAGGCAGCTGAGAGCAAGCTGGACCTCACACCAGCCTGATGTGAGCTTGAGATGATAAGCAAGGCTCACGAGGGGCCAGTGTGGACTTCTGAAGTACGGCTAAGCAAAGCTTTCCCCGAATATGCATGGGTAGTCACGGAGTGGCGTGACAAATCTATGTACTGGGCATGGGGAAGCCAGAGATATGATATTAAGCAACCACAACAACCTTACCTAAAGGGAGTACGGACTTCCAGAAATAATCTGTGGGGAAACCCTGACACAAACAGCATCTGCTGCAAGAATAAAACCTTCTGCTATTCCCAGTCTCCTCAAAACCAAGGGGAAAAAAACCCAACCCTAACATCCCAGGCTGTGCCTCAGGAAAACAGTGGAAGAGCCTTCAAGTATCAGAATAGCACAAGCTGTGACATCTCTGCTCTATAGCTAGAGCAGCGATAACTCATCTACAGGCAGATGTGTCTGGGCAGCAAGGCAGGACCACAAGCAATGGGCCACAAGAAGCTCTTCCAGTTCATAGCCCAAGCTGTTAATATCTCTGACACTTTGAATCTGTCCCCCATGCAGCCATGGATATCCCCTTGGGGGTCACAGCCACCAACATCACCCCCACTGAGGCACTGCTCCAGTGGAACCCACCATTGTCGGAGGTGGAGAGCTATGTCCTCGTCCTCACCCGCCACACAGGTACGCTGGGGCTCCGTTTCAGCTCACCTTTATCTCTTCTCTTTGGGAGGGCAGCAGCTGGTGTGCAGCAGGGCTGTACCCCATCCCTAGACACCAGCTCCTCCCTTGCAGGTCCCATGGCAGGTGCTTTCCACTGCCCCGCACCAAGCCTCTGAGCATAGCAGTCCACACATCAGGGGACTGGGACCCTCCCACTTTGCTGACTGGCCCACCAGCAGCAGCCCAGGGGCAAGCAAGTACCCATCCCACAGAAACCCACATCTGAAGGGAAATCAGGCAAATACAAGGATTGGGAAAAACAAGATCATCCTTCTGGCTGAATGCCACCATTACAGCTCAGTTGCTGTACAGTAGTTCATGGTGTTTCAGCAGTAGAAGGGCTTTTGTTTGCAAAGTCATAGACACACTTTGGAGAATCACCTGGAACATCTACCCTAACATATCTCTTTTGGCTTACAGTTGCAGGAGAAACAATTCTCGTGGATGGAGTCAACCAGGAGTACCAGCTGACCAACCTCCTACCCAGTACCACCTATACAGTCTCTATGTATGCCACCCATGGGCCTCTCACCAGCCAGACTGTCAGCACCAGCTTCACAACTCGTACGTAGAACCGCTGCCTGTTACGTGCTCTCAGCCATTCCCCAGGAAAAGCAGCCAGCAAGGCTGAGCCAAAGCTCTTGTCACATACATGTTTGTGCAGAAATAACTACAATCCAAAAGGACACCCAAATACCAGTTTGGGGCACAACAGCAAGCATCACCCATCATTTCCACTCTCTCAACATCCAGCCACCCCTTTTTTGATTTCCCCTGGATGTGGTTTCCCAAGAAGATCCCTGACAAGGTCTTTTTCTTGACCACGGCCATAGTCCAGAAGAGCACTACAACCCATTTTGTTTACAAGAAGCTTGACAGGCCCACAGAACATGAATTTCAGACCCATTACCCTTCAGAGAGCATGCAGATAGAGGAAGACTTTAAGAGGGTTTCTAGAGGCTGGGGGTCGTGATGAGGTCTGGAAACTGAGAGTGAGGATGGACTCTGGGCTGTAGCTTAGGGTTTCAAGGTTGAATTTCAAGTGCACTGAGTTGGGATGCAGGGCTGGGGTGGTTGTATGTGAGAACTTGCACTTCCCTGGGTCTCTATCCATCCTCACAGTTTTGGATCCTCCAACAAATCTGACTGCCAGCGAAGTCACACGACGAAGTGCCCTGCTTTCCTGGGTGCCTCCCGTGGGAGAGATGGAGAACTACATCATGACCTACAGATCCACGGATGGCAGCTGGAAGGTGAGTGACTCCTCACAAAGAAAGAGGGTTATTAAATCAGGGAATAACATAATTGCAAAGAAATTAGCAAGGGAAACCTAACAAAGCAAAAGAATGATCATCACTAGGTCAGGGAGAGACCAGAAGGGCAGACTCTACATTCTGCATAAGCAATATTTTAAATGAACAATTGGAAAAAGCAGGAAAAGTTTGCCTAGGGCCAAATATGCACACCTGCAGGTCTGGGCAAAGAGGGAATACCTGCAAAGTTTGCAGAAACAGGGGAAATTCACAACTTGTGAAAGTCGAGCAAGCTGAGGCAGGAGAAAATTATCCCACAAACAGAGATGCTAAAAATGCTGTTTGCCCTTCTTGCAGAAAGGCTAGATAGGTACAGACAGCTAATTAATCCTGCAATACGATATATCTGATTATTTAATGAGCATGTCCATATCTACCTGCCTGGAAGAGCTGCTACAAACACTATCAGAAATACGTCACCACAAACGGTCTCATTTCCTTTGCTGGTGTGACTGGCTTGCAGTGGCCAGAGGATAATAGCTTTGCAGAAGGGGTTCAATAATCTCTGTGACATTGGCTGACAACCAGAAAAATTAATGTGACAGGAACTGACGGAGTCAAAACCAGCTGATAACCAGGTTTGGCCAGCTCTACTTCTTGCAATGCTTGGGTAATCAGTCATGCTCTGTCTTAAGGGCACGCAGATCCCAACAGAGCTGGTAAACAGAGCACACAGACTGCAAACATTCAAGTCTCCTGTGACCAAACCAGCTAGCTTTCTCCTACTAAAACTATTCCAAAAAGCTGAGTATATTCCTTGACCTCACACTGATTTAGTTCAGGGTGCAAGCAGTGATGAAACAGGACACCACAGGACACCACTGGACACCACTGGACACCACTGGACAGGCACTAAGGGCTGCAGTAGTTTGTGGCTTCCCTTCCCTCCTCACTTGCTCTTTAGGCTCCCCATCGCTTTTCTCATCTGTTGCTCTTGGTGTCTACCTCCTTCTGGGACCCATGTACAGGAGCTGATTGTGGATGCTGAGGATACATGGATCCGCCTGGAGGGGCTTTCTGAGACCACAGAGTACACTGTGCGCCTGCAAGCTGCCCAAAATGCCATGAGGAGTGGCTTCATCTCCACCACCTTCACAACAGGTGAGAACTCACATCGCATCCTCTCAGCCAAGTGGGGCTTAGTCCCCATATCATGCTGGTAGACATGGACTGCTTCTAAGGGTTTTTCATCCTCAGGCAGCATTTCACCGTGATACACAGAGAGGTACATTCATCGCCATGATGCACAGTGCTGCTATGCTACAAAAAGTTAATGTCTGAAGGATCTGTAATAGAAACACAAGACTCAGCTGAAGGCAGAGATTTGAGCTTCAAACCAGGCACCCTGTACCAGACCCTTTGCCTTGCCCTGGGCCCTCCTCACACCTGTAAGCAAAAGAAGGAAGGACACACCACAAAAGTTAACAACACGTTTCAGCAGTGCTCTTGAAGTGACTGAGGAGAGACCCAGCTGGTGTCTCCAAGCTGTGGACATGGTCTGATCTTTCACAGATATCATAGAATCATAGAATAATTTGGTTTGGAAAGGACCTTCAAAGGTCATTTGGCCCAACCCCCTTGCAATGAGCAGGAACTTCTTCAACTAGATTAGATTGCTCAGAGCCTGGTTCAATCTGACCCTGAATATTTCCAGGGATGAGATATCCCTGGAAATATCAAGCAAGTGCATCTCCACCACCATAAGTGGAGTCATAGCAGAGCCAACACATCTGCATAAGTGTGGTCCCACTGATGTTATTTGACTGCATTATTCCACCCACTTCTAATTCTAGAGAAGTCATGATCCACTAAGGTAATGGGGGGAACAGTTTCCTTTCCAAATCAAAGAGTGGGCATTCACCACACCACAACCCTCACAGACATAGTGCTTACACTTGAAAGAATGAAGCTTGCATGAAAATGTCACCTTTACCCCTACCCTTTGCAACTGTTCACATTAGAAACCATGCAAAGCATATCATCCCTCACCGTCTTTGAAAAGGTTTGCTAGGCCAGGACACTTAACAGACAGAATGCATTTTGTTCAGGGCTGAATCCAATTACATTTCTCATGGGCTTTAAAAGCACTAAGAAGCCTATAGATGGTGTCCCCAAAATTCATCCTATCTGTACTGCCAGTTCAATTAAGAGAGTTTTCTTTGAACCTGCTGAAGATACACTTCCCTATCCCAGTTACATCCAAAGGTCCCTTCACCTGCTTTTAAGAGATAATAGAAACGATGTACATCAACAACAACAAAAAAAGGCTCTTCTCTAATGCATCTACAGATCAAGCTTTCCTGTTATTCTTGTCTTTTACATGGGCACATAATGGCAGTGAAATTCAGACAGGTGATGGGAAAATGCATATAATCTTTGAGGCTGTTCCGGAATCAAGGATGAAGCTGCATGGGGCTGGCTTCTCAGATGGGATAAAGCAGCAGAAACCCACTCACATCAGGCAAGGAGAGCACTGTTTCCATTGAACAGAAATGTCTGACCTAAGCAGTGTTAGAGATACCATTGACAGCTGATGCAGCATCCAAATACAGGTTTAATTTCCTTTTAAGATTAAGATAGGCATCAGCAAGACACCAGTTTCTCCCCACTTTCCCATATATCCATGAGGCAGAAGCACTCAGGAACAATCACCAAGGCAATGAGATCAATTGACAGCATCCCTCAGCAAAGAATCAGGGTCTGGGATTCACTTTTCTATGGCAGTGTATCAGGGCACCTTGCAGGGAATATGGGATTGTCTTTGAGAAGACAAACAAAAAAAACAAAACCAAACCAACACACCCCCCTCACCCCCCCACCCCCAAAAAAATACAAACCACCACAAAAATAATTGAAAAAAAAGCTTAATTTAAATTGTTTTGCTTCTTTCTGCTCACAATACACATCCTGGAGTTCTTCCATTCCTTCTGACATATTAATAGCTTGCCCTCTTTGTTCCATGTTTGCATAAGGTTCTCAGGGAATTGTATACAAATGGGACAAAAGGAAGAAACAGATACAGTATTTATAATTTATAGTGGTTTGAAATTTCTTTCAAGGTCTCCTTGGCTCTTAAAGATATGAATATAAATTAAGAAACAAGTAATCTCCACAAGAGCTCAAGGGAGCCTGAAGTGGTTGTCTTTGAAGCAGTTTTCATTGCTGGATATTATAAAATGCAAATGCTGTCTCACCAGACCTTGTGCTACGGACTGCAGAGATGGTAAAAAATAAGGGACCTTCCACATTTGGACAAAGCAATGACCTTAAAGTCTTCAGGTGGTAAAGGTAGGGGGAATGCACTCAGATGGGAAATAACAGACAAGGGTCTGTATCCTAGTCCTACGTGGTATCACGCAGTTGTGACAGATGCACACAGCGCATCATTCACACCTCAATGTATAACCAAGACAGCCTTGAAAGCCACATCTATATTGCTAGCCCTGCACTCATTTACTCCATCATCCATACACACCAACAGCAAAGAAAATTACGTATTTCCCCCTTTTGCATTAAATGTGAAAAAAATGAACACAGAGTTGACATCCCAATACTGCTGGGGTCTTGCAGTTAAGACTGTCTTAAACTCTGATCCCCAAATGAGATGTTTCTTCACTAGAGGACACCTGGAGCATAGCCACAAATGCCAAGCTGCCCATCTCCAGCATCTTGCACAGCCTAATTCCTGCTCAGTTTGCAAGTAACAATTAGCCCAGCTCAAGCCCACCATAATTTTCAAAAGCACGGATCAGAAAAATTCCCCTGGAATCAGTAAAGTCATAAATCTTGTTTGGAGTTGGCAATCCTGAGGGGAAAACAGATTTCAGTATTTTCACAGCTGTCTAAATAAGCAGTTGCCAGCTTCAATTCCAGGGTTTCAGGCACAGTGCAGAAAGATGCTCCAAGAATTGACATCCTTCATCATTTGTAGTGATGTTACCATGCACCTTCCCAATATAGGGCATATTGGAAAAAAATTCAGATATGCACACATTCCTTTTTTACACTAAATTGTCTGATGTTGTTGGCAGATGTGAAGTCCCACCACCTTGCAGAATAACTTGGGATGCAGAGGCCGAGTTAGATCTTTCATGGATCATAACTAGCAGGGCCCAAGCCATGTCAAAAGGGTGTTGCTCCACTTAAATTTTGCTTCTTTTTTTTTCAATCTTGCAGGTGGCCGTGTCTTTGCTAACCCTCAGGATTGTGCCCAGCACCTGATGAACGGAGACACACTGAGTGGTGTGTACACCATCTCCATCAATGGGGAGCTCAGCCAGCGAGTTCAGGTGTACTGTGACATGACCACTGATGGAGGTGGATGGATTGTGAGTAGCCTTGCAGTTGTCCTACACATTGTACCCATCACAAAGTAACCAAGCCCCATCCTACCGGCACAGCCAAGCACCACACTGCGTGGGAATGACAGCAGGCTTAATATCACACGCTTCATTTCCCACGACATAAGGAATGGCCCACGCTCCAGTAATAATAGTTACTCTTGGAGAAATGCCCTTTGATTTATTTGACATGTTTGCAGTGCTTCTGGAGAGCACAATCTGAGAGTGAAGCTGATTTATTGTTCTAGAAATGAAATTAATGGCCGGTAGCTTTCACAGGGAATGATTCACACTGCCTGCAGTAGAAGGGTGTCAGGCATCACCCCAATTGAGTCCGCACAGAGCATTTTAGAAGCAAATGCTTGTTTGGCTTTCAAATTGCACAAAAACTGCTTGTCTTGACATAGATGGACTGACAGCATAAGTAAATAGTGCTCTGGTGCTTTGATTTTATTCATCTCAAATGCTTATTTACATGCACTACACAAAACTGCACTAGATGTATAGCCAAAACAAAAAAAAAAAAAAAGGGCTTTCTCAAATGCTGATTTCTAGCATGGATGTTATTTTAGCCAGCAAATTTTCCTCCATATCACTCTGCATCAGTGCATCCCCTTGAATATCACAGAAAGAGCCAGCTGAAAGCAGAATCATGAAACCAGAAGCACCATGCTTTGCACAGAGCAGAAAGCTTGAAGGCTGATTCCTTCCTATTATAACATTGATTTGCCTTGAATATCATCTAACATCTCTTCAGTTTCTCCGTCTGCACATGAATTAACTGCATAGCTACAATGAACCCTAACTGTATTGGCATTGCAATTTTCTCCCCTGAAAGGCGCAACAGAAGGACAAAGTATTGTCTTTATTTTGTGCGTCCAAAGCCTGGTGAAGGTGTCCCTCCTCTCCTTCACACTGTTCTTCCCCTGGCTTTCCTCCACTGCAGGTCTTCCAGAGGCGGCAGAATGGGCTGACGGATTTCTTCCGGAAATGGGCAGATTACCGGGTTGGTTTTGGAAACCTGGAAGATGAGTTTTGGCTGGGTATGACCTTTACCAGCTGTCTTTTATTGACACATCAAACCTGAGATCCCTGTGCACCATGCTGCTCACCCATATTGGCTCCCTGCCTTTCATCCCACTCGTCTATGCTCTTCCTTAGAGTTTTCCTTCCATTCATTCCCTCTCGTTCACATTAGAAAGTCACTCATAGGCACACCACTTAACAGTGCATTTTTAAGGCCAGCAGCTCCCTAATTTGCTTCTCTAGGAGAGAAGGGGGGATGCTGTGAGTTTTCATGGACCAAAACCCATCATCCTCCTTCAGATGACTACAGGTTGCATTGGTGGCATCCGTGGCTCATGGACCTCACCTAGCCTTAGCCAGCAAACCAGTTGCCTAGAGAACGTAGGAAAGGCATGACTGGGATACCCAGCACATCTCTGAAATGGAGTGTGCTCTCCCAAAGCCCAAGCATGAGCCAAGGCCAGCTCTGCAGCATAAACACACTCTGCCTTATATGGGAGTTAAACAGCAATATGAGAAGCACCAGGGCTCCACAGCTGAATGCCCCCAGCTTCAGCAGCGTGTAGAAAGCTGAACCTAGACCTTGAACCCAATTCTCATAGCCATGGGGAGGTGAAGCTTGAGTGGGGACAGAGAGCTCAGACCCCACCATTGCCAAGAAAGGCAAAGACTTAACCAGAAGTGCTGTTGATCTTTGGCTACTTTCCATGTTCTCATTTCCCAGAGCTGTTTTATTTGCCTAGAGTTTTGTTTGCTCATGGAATAGATCCAGGAACCAGGTCTTACTGGGTGTCTCACTGCTTGTCTCACCAGGTTTGGACAACATCCACAAGATCACGTCCCAAGGGCGCTATGAGTTGCGCATAGACATGAGGGACGGCCAGGAGGCAGCATATGCCTACTACGACAAGTTCTCCATTGGGGACTCCAGGAGCCTGTACAAGCTGCGAATTGGGGACTACAATGGCACTTCAGGTACAACCTTATTGCTACCACATAGCAGGTGAATCCTGCAACTGGTGGGTCTGAAACTGTAAAGAAAATCCCAACACCAAATGTTATTTTTCTGGAGCAACAAGACACAAACTAACAGCCCTTTCTGGCTTCCTGCAGTCCATCATGTAAACCAGGCTGATAAATCACACTAAGGACACGGAATTTTCCATTGGGGATTAGATATTTAATATCAGAGGCATTGCTGTTCAACTAAACAGGTCAGTCGTCAGAGGTGTCATCTTGCTTGGCAATAACTGCAGCTCGCTATTGATGCCATGCTGGAGGGTGTATTTATTGCCTTCTCTCAGCAATGGAAAAAATCTGAAATCCTCTGCATCATTTCCTCATGCAGGGGCCGAACACTGGCTAGTTTTGCAAGGACACTGTCACACCTGCAGTGCTAGGCTTTGCCAACCAGAAAACAGTGGGTGATGGGTGATTGATGGAGTGAGGGTACAGTCGTTTCCTCCCCAAGTAGGAGAGAGGGGTACAGCTTCAGCCCCTTTAACTGGGATACACATGCCCACTGCAAGCCTCCATGATCCAGATAAAACTTCACCATGTACTTCATGTACTTAACAAGGAAACCCATACCATATAAAATGTAGGAATTTTGGTCTACAATACCTGGTAGTTGTCACTGGAAGAGAAGTGACAGAGATCTTGGTTGCATGCAACACAGCACTTGCTCTGACCTTAAGTCCCAGGGCAAAAGTCAGCCAACCTGTTGCCAAAAATGCCAATAACAGTGCTGCAGACATCAGTGCCTTCCCTTCCCTATGCAAGCTCTTCTTCTAACTGTCCAAGCAAGGAGCTTCTACTCCACATTGAGCAAAGGGAGCCAAGACTTGCCATATGGTTCATTGATGAGAGGTTTCCTAGCATACCTCTTGGCAGCTGGACTGCACACACCTAGCATGGATCCACTTCATATTTTCTTAGCGACCACCAAGGAGCATATTAAGAATGCCTCCTGTAACTACATCACTCAATTGTAACAATGACCATATTTCACTTCAGCTCTTCTTTCACCCCAAAACAGCTCTCTTATTCCTTAGTAAGGAGGTGAGATGAGGCTGGTGTGTTTGGTGTAAAACATCACACGTCTTCCAAAAGCCTCTTCTCCTTATGCAAAGAGAGAAAAGAATGCCAAGCATCTTGGTTCAAGAGACAAATTCTTGATCTCCTTCAGGAGAAAAATTTCCTCGGGCTAACAGGAGGCAAGGAGACTGAAAGCATCTTGAAGTAGAGACAGGTTTCAGGGAATCAGGGATGCCCAAATCTAGGTTTTAATTCAGTTCTGAAGCACTGAAATTCAGATTCAAACCCATATGGCATTTTATCTTCCAAGCCCAAGCACCATCTAAGATTTGCTATGGACTGTACTGATCCTAAACCGACAGCAGAGGACCTCAGATGAACAACTGTGAGCAATTCCAGTTAATATTATTCAAGACCATCAACTGCTTGAGCTGTTGATTGGGAGGCTGCCACAGATAACAGAATATCCTGATTTCCTTGTGAAAAGACCAGATGATTTGGGCTCCATCATATCCAACATCACGTCTTTCCACAGGGGACTCCCTCACCTATCACCAGGGTCGCCCCTTCTCCACCAAGGACAGGGACAATGATGTCGCTGTGACCAACTGTGCCATGTCCTACAAAGGGGCCTGGTGGTACAAGAACTGCCACCGCACCAACCTCAATGGCAAGTACGGAGAGTCCCGGCACAGTCAGGTAAGGGCAGAGCTGGGCTGAAAGTCCTCAGCATTTCTTCTAGGGGTACGACCAAGAACAACAGGAAGCCTAGGCTAGAGCTGAGGCTGTGTGGTTAGTGCACCAGGGTTAGGTGCACTGGTGGGGTGACCCCACACCAGCTGAAGCAAAGGGGACCACCTTCAAGTCATTTAGGCTGATGCTTCATGCTTCACGCTGGCTGCCATGGTCATTTACTGTGGCACCTTATTACATTATATTAAAAAGAAGAAAAAAGCATTGAATTTGATCAGGAGCCTTTGAACAGTGGGAAAAAACAATCAAGCCATAGCAGCAGCAATGCTTCCTCCTGCTGTAGCAAGTTCTTCCTTATGGCTTTTTTGTAGCAGTCAACTTTGTTTCCTTCCTATCCCACTCTAGTTTCTTGTTTGGATTTTTCTTTACCCTATGCCTTTCTCTCCCTCCTACCAGGGGATTAACTGGTACCATTGGAAAGGCCACGAGTTCTCTATCCCCTTTGTGGAAATGAAGATGCGACCTTACAACCACCGTAACATCTCTGGGAAGAAGCGACGATCCCTACAGCTCTGAGGGAGCTGAACCCCCTCCTGCCTTCCACCATCTGACCTTTTCTGTCATTTGTTTGTATTTTATAATATGAAAAGGGGGGGAATTTACTACTCATTCATCTGAGATAGCAACCTGCCCCTCACGAGTGCTGGAGGGAACCATGGCACAAGCAAAGGCTGTGGGAAAGGAAAGACCTCATTGCTTTGCATCTTTCCCAGAGAAATACCAAATTTCCAGTCTCCCTACCCCAGTACTCTGACCCTTAACACAAGAAGAGAGAGAAAGAGACAGACAGATTTTTTGATATTTTTTTAAAAGACATAGAAATCCCCAGCAAACCCTGTTAGAAATGTCCGGCATGGGGCTCATGGCAGAAACCTTCCCCACAGGGACCTTTGGCACCCCAGTCATGGCCAGGGACACCCATCCTCTTCCTGCCTCCCTGTCCCCTCCTGACAGGGAGGTCCCAGGCTTCAAGCTATCCTGCAGACACCAACTCTTCCAACAGGCAGAGGCCTGTCTCTCCTTCCAGCCTGGTCATCCCTCCCCTACTTGCAGGCACTGTACACATGGAGACAAAAAGAGGATAAGCCAACACAAGGCTCATCTCGTTCCCAGTTTTCACAAATCACACAGGAGGGTTTGGTGAACATCTGCGTAAGCAGGGAAACTTTAGAAAGCCCACATCCCAAATGTTGGCCCCACCACAGCCAAAGCCATCTTCATGTACATGGAGCCTAGGGGAACAAGAGCTGCTCCACCAGCACCAACCTGCATCATCCACTCTGAGCTGAACTCATCCCACCCCAGGTGCATGACAACTGCCTGGGTTATGCTGAGCTTCATGAAGAAGAAAAGAGTCAAATTAGGTCTTGAAGTCTAGGGCCCATTTCCTCTGCTATTTTGACATTTCACCACACTGTCTGTCACTGAGGTCAGTGGTCCCAGACCAAGGAGACTCAGAGAAGAAACAGCAACGAAAAGAGGTATCACAACTGCAGCCCAGCCTGAAGCTAGCAGCTGACACAGCTCAGGTGCTCTTGTTCAGGGTCCTCCATGCACACAGGGAAGGATGATGATGCAGCCTACAGAAGACAAGCGCAAGCTAAGAAATGCCTATTCTCTTCCCTCTCCCCAAACCATCCCTCTTTGCCACCATCACAAGAAAGACACCAATCTCAGTGCCTTGGTATCACCACCTCTTTAATGGGAAATCAACTATTTCCCCTTCTGGAAGGAATGCTTGGTCTATCCATTCTGGAGCACTTCAAGAGTTCGCTCCTGCCATCCCTAACTTCTCCTGTCTTAAGAAGATGGACCCTTCAGATAGCTCTGGCTGCACTCTGTTGTCATTGACACCACCGACACATAGCCCAAACGACAACTGTGCTGGAGTCACCCCTCTGCCAAGGACTCTGAACAATGCTGGGCATTGTCACTGGCCTGGTCTCAGAGAAGGAACCTATCCCCACATCCAAGAACAATGCAGCTCATCACTGGGTTCACAGCGGAGGGAGCAATACAAATGCTAAACACTGCTTTTTGATTTTATCCAACTGAAGCTGCTTTGTCTCAAGAAACATCTTCCAGATGGCAACATAAAGGCATCTTTGCAGTAGCTTATAATTCAGGCCAGTGTCTCTTTCACGGCCATGCTCCTGGATTTTCTGACATTACTCACCATGGCTGCAAAGCTGAAGAAGGGCATTAAGGGGGAAAAGCAGCATCCTTGTCTATGCCATCTGCTGGCACACAAAATCATAGCTAACTCCAAGGTCATGATTAGATAGAGGGTGCAGCCTTTCAAGTAGTCAGCTTACAAGCTGCAGTCTGACCAGGAGGAAGAATGTTGTAGCTCAGCAACATCTCGTATGTAAATGAGACATCTCACTTTCCATCAGCATCAAATCATGCAACAAGCCAACCAGTTGAGGAACAGGTCAGTCAGAGAGGCTACAGATAATAGGATCTCTTGCAGGACATGGCCAGTGTCACACATGGCAGCATACCAGGCCTCCTGAGCAGCCTGTCCTGTTTCATATCCAAAAGCCAACAAGAAGCAATGGAACTCAGTAAAACCTATGAAGCACCCAGTAGACCAGCAGAGTAATATTTTTCCCAACATCGCTAACAGTTTATAGGGAAGAAGTGTCTTAACAGAAGTACTACAGTGTAGTGGTTACACTACAGTGTAGTGGTTATAACTAGAAGCAGACATTGGCAGTGGATGGCATTCATCGCTGGTCTCGGATGGTGCTGTTTGCTTACCTACCCAGATGAAAGAAAGATACATCAGTGGAAACACAGGAGCTCATCATTTGCAATCAAGTTGAAGGCAAGAAACCTCTTTTAAAAAGTATGAGTCAAATAGAAAATCAAAACATGCCAAGCTTTTCCAGGACATTCAAAAGAAGATCCTCAAAAAGGCTGATTCATCTCTAAATAGATTTACTGACATGTATCTCTTCCTCCTTGCTCATATCTGTCATCCTTTTATAAGTCCAGTAACTAGAATGAAAGGGCCCAGTTGACACAACTTAATTTTTCAGTCTGAAGGATGCTCTTGGAGATAACATCTGACCTTCTGGTGCCATTATATACCGATGCAGGTCTCTGATCTCACACATGGTACCAGAGTGCTGCCTTTCCATTACACTGATGAAACACAGTTGCTAAAATTTTTTAAAGGAAAGTCTTCTCCATGTTATGGCTTTCTCCTGCTGACAATGTAACCCAAGCCGAGGCACAAAATCAGCTACAACAACCCAGTCATTTGGGCCATTGTCCCTCATGTACACTGTCCATAAACAAGATACAATTTTCCAGCAATTTATTTTTCATCACTGCCTGATGATATTTTTTTTTCTAACAAAGCTCCTGGCAGAGGTTTCAAGCAAATTTATGCTTAATGTTGATGCTACAGAATGGCCAGGTAATGATTAAGTACAGTCTCTCTTCACCCTCCATCACTGGTTGGGCAAGCCCTTTTTCTGAATTCATTCTCAAACAGACCAAGTTTGGCCCTGTCCTCCATCAGCACAGCATTGAGAATGAAGTCTTGGCAACAGGCCTGAAATTCCCAGAAACTAAGCCAGGGTCCTGTGTGGTGCTTATCTCAAGAGACTTTGGCTCCAGCACCTGAACCATCACTGGGCTCTGGTGGCTTCTCTGCCATCCAGCTCATATGGCCCAGGCTTGCCCCAGAGCCTGAAAGGGAACCTGAAGCCATCACCCAAATCACACTGTCCACTGCAAAATGCCATCTCTCATCACATCAGGCAGGAAAAGCATGTACGGTCATTCACCCACTACGTGTGCCTAGGATCCTCTCAACCTTTCAAAGATGTCTCTTACCTCTAACCTCAAAATCCTGGAAGGAAACAGCAAGGGGCTTTCTCATCTCTTGCCCAGTTTTGATTTCACTCTGTTTCATTCCTGCCAGACCTCCAAGCTCACCTTCCACTGCACTAAAACATAACCAAAGAAAAAAACCAAAACATCCTGAAAAGAAAAGCTGCTTTTAGTAAAGTCATCCTTAAGAAAGAATTTATACAAGAATCATTTGGGACAGGAGAAAGGCCAAGCCCTCCCCAAAGGTATCTGGGTTTTGGCAGGATGATGCTGGAAGAGTACCCCCGCAAAGGTTGTGGAAAAGCCTTTGCTTCTACTCCTTATCTTTGCATTACTTTACCATGGGCGTCTCAAAGTGTAGTATCTGTGTAAACACACTCTTGTCCCAACCTCTTAACTCTTTCCCAAAGTGTTGCTTACCCCAGGTAAAGTGTTGGGGTGATGAAGGCAGAGCTCACTGTAGCCTTCATCCGCAGTGGTGCAGCATGTGAGGGTTTGGGCCGTGGTCCCTACAGTGCAGTGGCCCCTGCTGTGGACAGGCTTAGAATGGCTTGTCAAAATACAGCAGAAGCCAAAATACCTGCCTGGTCCATCACCTCCATGCCAGCATGTGCCCTTCATCCAGACCCAGAGCCTCCCTCCTGGTATGTCCCCACCATCACACCCTGGGGTGACCACGTTCCCCTTGCCCTGTGCCCCCCCCAGCAATACCCACAAGCTTTGACCTTACCAGACACTGCCAGCAAAGAGCTCTCACCCCAAAACCCCTTTAATTCATGCCTACACCCTACACCCATGCTCTGTCCTGGGGCCAAGAGAGAAGACCATCCCTGTTTCTGTCAACCAAGCATCCTCGGATGACCACCAAACCCACCCAAGCCCCTTGGGGACCATCAGTACCCTCCAGAGTCACCTTCCCCCTTCCTTAAACCTGATGGTGCTCAGATGGTGTTGGCAGCTCCTTGCCCCTTCCAGGGTGGAAGTTTGAGGTTAGGGAGAGGGAAAGGGAAAGGCTCTTCCCTGGGGAGAAGCTGATGCCCAGACCCACCTTGGTACCTGCCTGCAGCTCTCCTTGTGTCAGTGGTTTCTCAGAGGATGGTGACACAAAGACCTAAACCAACAAACAAGCAGCCCCCTGTGCACAGGTGGTACCCTGGAATTGCGCTTATTATTTAAAAAAAATTAAAACCCATAAACAAGAAGGAAGAACAAAGGCAACAAAATCCCTTTGACAGGTTCTGATGGACTCAAACACAAACCAATGTAACTAAATGAGGGGGAAGATAAAAGAAAATTAATGCATAAATAAAATTAATAATATAAATAAATAATATATTAATTCTCCCCACCTTGTAATAAAAACGTAGCTCGGAGAATGGGATTGACGCTTGTTAACCATTGTTAACTAGTATTTTTAGTCCTGACCGCTCTTAGGCTATGTATAGTTCCTTTTTTTAATGCATTTTCTATACATTAATAAAAGATACCGAAGGAGTGAGCTGTGTGCCTGTCTAGAAGCGGGGTGGGAGACAGGTCCTGGTGCATCCAAGCCCAGCAACATTGCAGCCCTGACCTCACACCAAGTGGGGATGTGCACCTCCTGCCCCTAATCCTCATTTGTCCCATGGGAGAAGGAGCATGGGGGGCTCATTAGCAGGGATTTGCATGCTCTCACTCTCCTGCAAGGGCATGCCCTGCCCTGGTGGAGCTTAGATACTTTTGCATCCAAAGCAGCTGGCCACAGAAGATTGGTTTTTGCTGTGAAGTTTGCAGCCGAGTTGCAAGGTGTTGCACAACCGAGACAGCCCAGCAGCAGCTGGAAGAGAGCACATTGCTCTATTGTAAAACATGCCAAGAAACACGAACTGGGAGGAGCAGAGCAGCTGAGAGACAGAGCACATGCAATGGGATAAGAAAACAGAGAGTGGAAACTCTGGAGACAGCCCAGCATTGGAGGTGCTTGAGATCAGGCTGGAGAGAGCCCTGAGCAATCTCATCTGACCCTAGGGCTGCCTTAGGCAGCAGGTCAGAGGAGAGGCTCCCAAGGAGGAGTTATGCTGTTAAAATGACAGTAAGTGACCACAAAGTCAGGTCAGCGTGGCCGGTCCTTTAACCCCTGTAAGGCAGGGAGCTGTGCTTTGGCCTCAGCCCAGCAAACCATATTTTGTTAATAAATTTAGCTGCTCCCAGAAGCTCAGCAGTTTGCAGCCAGAGAAAGCAAAGCCGCAGTGTAAATGCTCAGGAGCAAAGTGAAACAACCCCAAAGTCTTCAGTTGAAGTAGTTCTAATGATTCAGACAGCAATCTGTTCCCAGCAAGTTGGAAAACCCACCAAAAACCAAATTTCAAGGCTATTTCCAGCAGAACATGCTCCCAGTGGAAAAAAAATGAGGAAAAAAAAAAAACAACCCAACATTGATTTATCAAAAATCTCTGAGACAAGTATGAATTTCAGAGGATTTTGAAAGTCTCCTCTTGTTTCACATACAGACTTTATTTAGACCTCCTCGTCTTAAGTCTTCATGTTTGACACGTAGCCAGGCAGGATGAGAAAGCCCGAAAGAAGCTCTTTTGCCAGACTGCTTCAATATTTTCTAAATTTAATTTCAGAGAGAGACAAAACAGGGAAATTTGTTCTGCAGCAGCTTCTCAACCTCAACTTCTCCTTTGTGCTTCAATTCGAGAGATAAAAAATAAAGAAAAAGGAAGTTGTGACTCTGGGTATCCCCCACCTCGGCCATGGCCACCAACACAGCACAAAGCCAAGCCTGATGGACTCAACCATCCGGATTAAATGAACTTTCTCAGGTCTGAAGGGAGTCAGTGCATGGGAGACTCTTCAGGCAAGCCCAGGGGCTCTCTCCTGTGCTCAGAGGAGACAATGGATGGAGGTAGGTTTGGGATGGGAAGGAAAGGCTGCCTTCACCAGTGCTTATCCTATTCTCACCATGTTTTTCCAAACAGTTGACTCAACACAGTGGGTTTCATTTGTGGTCCTTAGAGAAGGCAAATGCCCTCCACTGTACACCCCATTCAGCACATCTGGGGTCAAATGGGGTCCCCAGGACCTCTATTACCTGCAGAGCACACCAAAAAAAGCCCGTCTGGAGGAAACACAGCATTCCCATTGCAATAACCAGACATGAGAAGTAGGCACGCACCACTCAGTGGTTGGTGTCAGAGCAGAGAGGTGTATGTGAAGTTGCACCATCCTTCTGGACCAGAACTCACTTCCCAGAATCAGAGCCATGGCTATACTCCATGCTCCAGATGGGATGAGACGGAGGTGAGGGCTGGCACAAGCTCTTTCCGAAACACTCCAAGTTTTGACTTAGGCCAGGGAGGTGTTTTGCCCCCCACACCAACCTCTGGGGAGCTCCTGCCCTATCACCCATCACAGATGCCCACCACCCTCATCACTCTGGCCCTCTCTGCCCTTGCACACCTCAGGGCCATCTGTTTGCTTTAGGCATGGCCCTGCACTATCACACATGGTGAGATTTCATATTTCCAGCCTCTTTAAGGAGCGCCCAGGCTTTGTGCAGGCAGCACTGTCACACTATGGGCAGCCACACTCCTCTTCAGGCACTTCCAGCCACTGCAGAGCATCGCACCACCAGCCCCCAAAGCTGCACTTTGTACGGAGATATTTCATCACATCCCTCTTACCAAAGTCCCGTTCTTGCATGAGTGATGCTCAGGAACTTTGTTCCACCAGCAAACATCAGGAGGGTGTACAAAGGTCCTCAGCAAGGGTGCTGGGCACCTGTCCCAAAGCTGGAGCTTAAGTAACGCATTCTTAGCAACACACCCTGGAAACTCAGCC